ATATATATATATATATATATATATATATATATATATATATATATATATATATATATACACACACACACACACACATATATATATATATACATATATATATATATATATATATATATACATATATATATATATATATATATATATATATATATATATATATATATATATATATATATATATATATATATATATAAAGAAATTAAAATTTAATGAAAACATAATGCGAATAGTATTGAATACAACGTTTTGCCAATTAAAGTTCAACGTTAAATCAACGTAAATACAACGTTGGGCCAACGTATAAAATAAAACGTTGAATCAACGTAGAAAATATAACCATTTTCCGACCTTAAACAAACGTTTTATCAACATCGGCTTTTAGTTGTTGGCGACGTCGCATTTGTAACCATAATGATATAAAAACAACGTTGGCAGCCGATGTTTGGCCAACGAAACGCGCGACATATATTTAATGTTTTAACAACGTATGTGTGCTAGCTGTGTGTGTATATATATATATATATATATATATATATATATATATATATATATATATATATATATATATATATATATATATAGAACCCAGACATGTTTTAGTACCGTTTTACCGGTATGGACGCCAAAAAAAAAGCACCCAAATTTTATTTTTTTTTTAATTTTTCTTTTGATTTTTATAAAAAATAGAAAAAAAAAATAGTTTTAAATGCAGTAGTATATAAATAATTATCAGTTTAATTTAGCTACCTCATTTTTTCTTCAGGAAAATAAAAAGAACTAAAAAGAAATTGCTTTTTTACATAACTATGAGACCTAATTTGCCTTCGGTTATTAACTGGACATTTTTGAACTTTTTAAAAAATGAAAGTCGTTAAGCAACTTAATTTAAAAACCACGTTGCAAAATTTTATAACAATGGAATGTATAAAAGATTTGCTTTTTTGAAAGTTAAAGCGTTTTTAAATATCCATTCAGTGTAAGGTTAATTTTTGTTTTTGGCAATTAAGAGTAAACTGCTTTTGATAATAAATGAGCAAAAGTAAAAAATATCAGTTCTTGTAACTATCGCGCAAGTTTAATTATTAAATAAATGAACTTTTGATCTTTACCTTGCTATTTTAGTTTATGTGAGGAAAACGAAAAAACAAAGTATAAACTTTTTCAGACAGTTTTTTTTCCTTTCAATATTCTTTTTAATATAATAAAAAAAAAAGGTTTCAATAACTTAATAAAAGTTTTATTTAGATATGTTTAAAATAACCCATAGTAAATGTAATTTATTTATTCAAATGTAATTTTTTAAATTCTTAATAATTAAAAAAAATTTTTTTTAAATATGTTTTTAAAAATATAAGATGGTTTTTAATCAAAATAATAGAATATTTTTAAAATTATGTTTACTGTAATTATCTCTTTAATTATCTTAAAAGGTGCCTTAAAATCACTTTAAAAATTATAACCTTTAGTAAACGTTAAATGAACAGATTTACTAATATTTAAACCAAAATTTTAAATTTAAGATAATAGAAAAAAAGTTTATTAATGCTTATGTTTTTATTTGAATAGTTTATTAAATACATTTATTAAATGCTTATCGAATTCAAGACGTAAAACTATTTTATTAATTTTACCAAATAATCAGCCCATTCCATTTTGACCCTCATGAACAAATTTTAATATGCAGAGTGTGGTAAAATAATCCCAAGGTATTGTTTTCTTAATAAAATCTTTTTATTTTTTATTTTAGATGATTATTTATACTTGCGCCACTCTTAAAGTTTTACATTTTTTCATTTTTTGAGTTTTTACAGGCATTTTCAAACGATTGGTGTGAAAAGAAATCATTAAATATATAACAATGTCATTACAAGTAATGGAAGGTTTTCTTTCAATACTGAGTGTGCGCATTTTTATTACTATTATTTTTGTTAACTGGTGATACTTTAAAAACGCACAAATTCGTTATGAAATTAAAAAAACGTAGTTTTTAAAAACGATTGCGTTGAGACCCAAAAACATTGGTTTAAAATCTGATGTAAAATACAAAGAAAATAACTCTAAACCAATTTTTTTTTCTAATGATAGACTTTTCTTAAAATGAGTAGAAATATAATAAAAAAGAAATCAATAGAATTAGCACTTTGATTTTATTTTGTCAAAAGTAAATGTAATAAGAATTTGACAATGTCATTTTAAACTAGGGTCATGTGAATCATCTTTTTTGGTATCGAATCAAATCAAAAAATCAAAGCAGGCATTAATTCGCAAATCGAATCAAATCTTGAATCAAATCAGCATTTTGAGGATATCTATGTTTTAGTTAAACTAAGATTTCTTTGAAATGCTGTTTACGGCATCTTTTGACCAAGATCACAATATAAAAATGGTAAAAAGTTCTGCATTCACAAGCAAAAGGGGAGGTTCGAAAAGATGAAAGAACGAATATAATCACAGCTGAAATCCTTCTGAAAGCAAGTTGATAAAGACCAGCCACTAGGTCTTAAGTTGTATATTTCATCAGACGACTGGTTAAAATTTGATATTCTAAGTCATAGTTTGAAAAAATGTCTACGGATGAGACTTCCTCAGACTTTTTGGGTACAATGAATTAACAACATATCAGAACTAACAACATATCAGAACTAACAACATATCAGAACTAACAACATATCAGAACTAACAACAATGAACTAACAACATATCAGAAATCACAGCAAAAATGTAAATCTACTAAGCATAGTTTAAATTTTTTTTAAATTATGTAGGATATTTATTTCTTAAAACAATAATGTATTTTTTGTTTTAAGAAAAATATTTTGTAAAAAAAAATTCAATTTTGCTGTGCTTACAGTAAAATTTGTTCAAAATAATATAGATTGTGTGATGAACTTGGAGAAGCTTCGGAAGCTACTTCAAATAGAGTGTTCATGTAAAAAAAACATCGAAAAAAGAAGAGTGGAGCCAAGAAGCTAGCTACGGCAATTGCTTCCTTGCTTTCTCGTTATTGTAATAAATTGAATTTTGATCAGATATCTAACTGCAAACTCTGAACCATCAAAGAATGTTTAGAAATTATTTTTTTAGATATTTTCTTGAGATATTTGTCTTTAGCTGAAAATTTATATGTATATAAATATTTATTGCACATTTGCAGCATTTAAACGAATTCTGAAACAAACTTGCTTCAGAAACAAGAGATCTATGGCAGTGACAGATCTAGCATTTTTTGGTGTTTTGAGCTAACAGGCATGGCAAAACTTGAACATAAAAAATTATTTGTATGTTTATACTTATGTGAAATAATGGTGCTTTTTAAAAAGTTGCAATGATTGGAGGCTGGGAACAAAAAAAAGCTCTTTTTTTTGCTATTCTTAACTAAGTTTATATTCATATATAAAAAGTATTGTTTTACAATCTTAAGTATTGTTTTACAATCTCTAAGCTTTCAAAAATTATAACTATATAAAATTTGAAAACCCTCAAATTGAGGGGGTTTAAATTTTATATGGTTAATTTATGAACTCTGAGAGATATTACTAGGAAACTTAAAATTTATCAATTAATATAAACAAAGTTAAGAATTTCAAAAACATTATTTTACTAACTTGTTGCTCTCAGGTTTGGGGCAGAGGGGGGGGGGATGAAATTTTAGGGCTTTTTTAGTTTCCAGCATCCAATCATCGCAATATTTTGTAAAGCATCATTATTTGACATAAGTATAAACATACAAATGTTTTGAGTTAGCCCCATGTCTGTTAGCTATCTTAAACACCAAAAAACGCTGGATCCTTCACTGATCTGTGGTTCGATGCCTACTCTAGGTATTTTTTTAACACAAAGGAAGCGTAAACTTCCAAGTTAAATGCTCCTCTGTGGCGCTCTATGATACAACAAATAGGTCTTTTTGGAGCTCCTAAAATACCCACAGAAAAAAATGCGTATATTTTTAAATCACATTGATACATATTGATCTAGTGTAGTTTACAATTAAAGATCGAAAATCCTTTACCCAATCTTTCAAGGAAACCATTTTGGATTTGGATTTGTTTGACCCAAGGATCCAGTAACAATATTTAGAAGAAAAACATAATTTGATAACGAAATGAGGCAAAAATGATAAAGTTTGTTGTATGACTAGAAAAAAGCCTAGAGAAAAAAGATCAACAAAAAATTACTTTACAGTAGTCAAAGTGTTAATTTATCTACCATAATTAGTAAAATAGGCACAACATATTACATAAATTAATAAGCACAGTGTTTTTTTTGGTACATGAACACATAAAAAAAATATTGTTGGACAAATTAACTGGATTTGATATTAGAATCCATTGGCGCCAATGCTTGGAAATTGACCTAAATTTAGTTTCACAATAGATTAGCAAAATATAGAATAATATACACTAAAATAAAAAAAAATTTATTTTTTAAAAAGTTTATACGCAGCGGTATAATATATATATATATATATATATATATATATATATATATATATATATATATATATATATATATATATATATATATATATATATATATATATATATATATATATATATATATATATATATATATATATATATATATATATATATATATATATATATGGATTAAGGTGAAAAATTAATCAAAAAGCATACAATAATTAGTAGGCAATTTACTCTAAGAAGTAAGAATTTAATTTCTTAGAATAAATTGCCTACTAATTATTGTTCCATTTTTTTAATTAAATATGTTAGCATTAGTCAAATATAACTTATCAGTGCTTTCAAAACGTACCCTTTAATAGTCACATTGTTGATTTAAAAAAAAAAAGTTTAATCTGAGATTTAGTATAACATTTGTAAACAAAAAAATAAAAAAATAAATTAAACAAAAAAAAAAAAATAAAAATAAAAATCTCAAAAGCTTATTACTAAAAAAAAGTATATTGTTTTATTAGAAAATTTTTTACTGAGTATCATTTGAATGCAATAAATTTTGAAAATATCCAAATTACTTACCCCAAGTTCTTCAATATGTGCTGGAGAAAACTGTTTCCAAATTATTTCATTTTTTTTGGTGTCTGATATAATAAAACTTACAGGAAATTGATTTGAGTAGCTTTCATAAGATCGCTCTGGACTTTGAACACTTGCACAGCTCGTTTCAACATTTGCACTGGGTTCAAATGAACCTTTCGAGTCATTAAATGTCATATTTGGTTTCGTGCTTTTATTTTCTTCATTTAGTGACTGGACATCACTAATAATTAAACTATCCAAAGATTCAGTTGCAGGTGTTGCTGAAGAAGAAATTAGAGGTATATCAGCATGATTATCAGAAGTCTGAAGGAGCTGAGAGCTACCAATAGGTGAAACTACATAAAAATATGCCTTTGACATTTCTAAACCCAAAGCAGAATAGTCTGAGTTGACATAAAAGCTTTGACCATCAATAGAATTTATAATAGGATAAGAATCTGTTGTTTTTAAAATAGAATATTCCTCAACAGGTAAACCTTTATCGCAAAAACTAATTGTCTCCTTAGCAACAGATTCTTTACCATCTTCTTGAATTAAATCGATAATGCCTGATTTATCAGAATCTACAGAAAATGAAGGTGATGTAGCGATATATATTTCATCTTTATCATAAATTGAACGTTCTTGAAACAGGTGATCACTTTTTAACTCTTCATCTTCAGATGGTTCGAACAAACACACATAAATTTTGTTTTCATCTTCTCTATTGGGCATTTTTCATTTTTTATTTTATACTGTTGTTGTTTTTCAATAAATATATTAAATACTAAAAAAGCATTACAAGTATATGCATCACATATATAAGTATTACATTACATTTTAACTAAAAAAAACAAACTCAAACAACAACTAACTTAATTCAATTTTTATAAATTTTGTTTTTTTTAAATAAACCAATATATTTATAAATATGTTACAAATTTTAAATTAAGAACAAAAAAAAATTAAAAATATACAAACACTTTGACCTCAATAAACTATAGTATTATGCAGCATAGCATATATCATTAGCTTTTTTAAACTTAGTATAAAAATTATTTTATAGATATAATTTGAACAGATAGTAACAGCAACAACAAAATATGTATAAAACCTTAATTTAAGTAACATAACAAACGTTCCCTCAAAAAAAGAACCTAATAAAATCTAATAGTTTATGCACATATGTTAAAATAAGAAGGCAATATACAATTACAAAATAAACGCAGACACATCAATAAAAGGTTTTTTAACAAGAACTTTATTTTGGGTGATGAATTCTATTTTACTAAGTCAAACTCCACAGCTGTTGAAAATGAAGGGTATCATTCCAGTGAACCTAAAAATGTTAGGAAAGTATCGGTATGATTTGCAATTAACTCCAAAACAGACTTCTTGATTGCTGGTCTATGTCTAGACCAGCAATCAAGCAGTCTGCTAATCAGTTAACAAAACTATTTTAAAAAATTGCATTAAAAATATTTGCTTTTCCTTTTTTTTGGAAAAAAAAATTTGATTTTTTTCATTAAAAAAAATTAAAATGCAAGTATTTTTTTTTCAAGAAAAAAAATACTTGCATTTTAATGTTTCATAGTAGTTCTATTTTTGATGAAACACCTGTTAAATCTGTATTTTTGATGAAAAACCTGTTGTATCTGTAAAAAAATTTACAATTCTTGTAGAATTTTAGTAACAAAAAAATATAAATAAAAGCTACAATTGTATTTCCTTTTTACAAAAGTACCGAAAGTATTAAATAATACTAAGTACGACCCTTTGGATACTTAAAACGCCAAGAGATTTGATTAGGAATCCTGAAGAAATATTTAACAAATGAAGACCGATTTTTCAGTTTGTCCTTGTTTGAAGTCCATCTACGATTAAATTCAATAAATCTTCTGTAGACACGTGGAAAACCATACATTCTACCAATAGTATAAAATGTAGCTTTTTTACCAAACCATATTGCTAAGAGTGCAAGTGCTTTTTCCATTATTTTTGTTTAATAAAATACATTCGTTAAACGTTGTTATCTTTTCTTTTGTATCATAGAGATTAACTTCAACAGCTCACTATAACAAAATGACTAAATACATCAGTAAATAAACCAAACAATGACTAAATGTATTAGCAAATAAACCAAATAATTTAAAATTTTCTACAGTATGTATTAAATCAAATGATTAAAAAAAAATAAAAAAAGCATTACGTTTCAGTCATCCACAATAACAACTAGATGACTATGCCAATAAATTTACCAAAAGTTTTTAAGCAATGAGATTGGTCAGCTCACCTGTTAAGATTTGTGTTTTAGAACAATAAGTTACTCTTTTTTTTTTTTTTAACTTATCATTCATTTTAATTGTTAATACAACTCTCTCTCTCAACCCTATGATTCTAAAAGTAAACCTTGAACAACACAGAAAAATAAGACAACTTCTACTACTATTTTGTTGATAAATAGCAATATGCTAAGGAACTACCTTAAACTACTGATGGATCAAAGAGGATAATAATAATTTGTACTATTTGTGAGAAAAAAAAAAGTTAATGGATATTGGTAAGTAATTGTGATGGTACTTTCTGACAAATTTGTAGTTTAGATATTTTGGAGTATAGCACAAGATTGAAAGATGGGTTAATATTCAAAAAACTTGTTTATGGTAACGTCCTCATACTTGACATGCAAATATAAAAAACTGTGATTGACAGTAATTATTAATAGAAGGAAAATCAATTTTTCTTAGTGATTTATTGATTTATAGTAAGTTAGTATCATCAGCAAAATCAAAAGCAGTTTTGAACTTAACTGAAACTTTTTGGTCATTATTGTATATTAAACATATATTATTTTTCAAAAGAAAAAGAAAGAAGGAAAATGGATTAGTAAATAGAAAAATATAGTATTGAACCTTTTTTTAATATTAGAATGGCTCGAAATTTCAGGAAATAGGCTATTATAAAATATGTTGAAAAAACTAATTGAGTTTTTTATGATAGTACAGAGGCTTAGAGATTATGTGAGAAACAAGAACAATTGTATATGAATTATTAAAACCCAGTCTTTTTTCATTTCTATAAGTATTTTCAATTAACAAAAAGACTAGACATCTTCAATTACTTGATAAAATAAAGTCATGATGTTTTCAATTAAGTGAAATAATTGTCAGACTTTAATGATTTTTTTAAAGCTTTTTTTTTTTTTTAATTTTATAAAAAAAAATTCTTTTTGCTTGTGTTTTTCATTAGTATTTGAAAACATAAATTTTTATGCAAAAATACCTCAAAATAAAAAACAGAAAAGGTAAATAAAAAAATTATAATTAAATTTAAAAAAACCTTACTAACAATATTTAATAAAAGTTTTTCGTTATTTTTTAAAGTATTTTTCCATAAAATGAAATACAAAAACAGGAAGTAAAAATACAGTACTTTATGCTTACAAATGCTGTCAAAAGATAAACTTTATGTTGTTCTGACAGGGCCAGATTTACACTTCTGGGATTTTTGCACTTCTGGGATTTCTGGCCCCAAAACATAACCCTAAGACGGGTTATGTTTTGGGGCCCTTTTTATAAGTAAAATTTTCTGTTTTTATTTCCATTTTATATTAGGACTGAGAATATGTGAAAAAGACAACTATGTAACGCATGATATAAAAATAATTAGTATATTTTTATTTCCATTTTTAGTTAACTTTTACAATAATTTCAAAAAGTTCAAAAACTTATTTACATATTGGGGCCCCTGTAATTGCGGGGCCCTAGGACGCGGCCTAGTCAGCCTACTGATAAATCTGTCCCTGAGTTCTAAGCAAAATTTATTAATAACAAGCAATTATTGGAGACATTTTTTTCATTATTACTTATGGAAGGAATTCAGATTTTTGACACACAATGTTAATTAAACAACTTTTGTATGATTTTTTTAAATAAATAAATAAACAATTTAGTATTTCTTTCATTTTTGACATGTTAATTAAAATCAGTATTGACAGATTTTTGAACATTAAATGTTTTAATAAACACTACCTTCTTATAAATCCATACCTTTTTTTTTTGTACGAACATCTTTGTTTGCTGTTTCTGTAACCTGTTTAATTTTCAAATGAACATTGTTTAATTTTGTGCTCTAGGCTAAAATCTACTCTACTTCTATGTTTTGTATGATAGACTTAAAAAAATACACTGAACATCGAACTATTGGTGTAAAAATATTTATTTCATCATTTTAATTTTAATTTTAAATCACATTAGCATCCAACTTCAACAATTAATTCTATAATCCAAGTTTTTTTTTAAATTTCCAACTCTGTTTTTGAGATACAAATTCTGCAAAGTCTAACAGCAGTTGTCAACTTTTTGGATTGTTTAACTGAAATATATTACTAATAGCTGAGATTATATTTTAACATGATTAGCATGATCAGTAGATGATCAATAAATCTTTTATTGCTTTATTCTTTAATCTATTATAAGAATCTCCAATAAAAAAATTTTAAATAGATGGAATTAATTAATTTTAACTATTTTTAAAAAGATACAATTAATTAATTTTATTTATTTTTAAAAAGATGGAATTAATTTAAAAAGCATCTTAAAATAGTTTAAATCATGAAAAATAGCTATGAGATGCTACAGGAGAAATTATTTTGCATGTTTAATTCTATTCTAACCATCATGTGTTGACATTAGAATGTATTTATGATTTTATCACTGTTATTAACAAAACATTGAGCTGTCAAGCCTAAAAAAAACATTTAAAAAAAACAAACAAGGCAACTAATTAAATTAATCTGCATTCAAGATTGAAAGTTTTTAGAAAGAGACAACACAACTTTTTCCTGACCATTAAATTATAAGTAAACAATATTAGTTTTCTGATATTATATGTAACTGCGTGCTTGTTAAGGGTATATTAGTAATTCTTTTAAATGTCCTTTGGACCTTAATCTGATGCAAAAATGTATTCTGTAGATAAGTTAGACTATGTTAGATTTCAATACTTAATAATTTTTATTAATAATTTATCCCTATATCTTACTACGCTGAAATCAAAGTCAAGATCTTGGTTAAGTTTATGAAAAACTCTGCTACAAGTAAAGTTCAATCACTCAAGTATTATTAAGTCTAACAAAGAATGGTTTTATAATACTTACTTAAAAAAAAGCAATAAAATAAATTAATCATTTTATAGATATATTTTTTTTTTTTGACTTTTTATAATTTTGTTTATAGTGTTTTAAATTATAATTTAAAGATATATACAAATATATTTAGTGAGATATATTTTATGTTTAAAATTTATATTAATTCTTATTACTTTGAATTACAAAAAAAAATAAAAAAATATTTTGTTTGTTTTTTTCCTGATAATGGTAGTTATAAATTAGGAAGGGAGGGGAAGAACATTTACCCTTTTTAAATTATCTTTTACTTTATAACAAATAATATTTTTTGATATTCAATACAATTGTTTGTTTTTTTTTTGTTATAAGTTGTTCTAAAAATGTACCTGACTTTTAGAAACTATCTTTGGGGATTTTTAATAAGTGCTTAATAAATTTTTTGATTTAGATCAATAAATACTTTTTGATTGACACTTATAAGAAACGTTTTGAGAAAAAAAAGATGCCCTCTTTGGTATCAGATGCATTGCATCAGAGATTAATTTTAAAAAACCTTGGTTCAGCTCACTTTAATAACTTATACTTTTAAATAATGGCAAAACTGAACTTTTCTAAAATGTCCATAAGTAGATTTATAGCAACTAATAATCTATTTTTTAAGACCAAAAAATCAAAGTCAGCTTTTGAATTTTTTATATCTTAAAAAAATTGAAGTTTTTAAATGTTGATTATTTGTGTGAACATAAGCAAAAAATATATATTATAGTAAATATATTTTACAGTTAAATGTCATACTTATAAGTATATTTGGTATCATTTTGTAACTGTAAATTATTTCATGTTTACTTTTTATTTTGTTACAATTAAATTATTGTTTTCTACTTCCTAACTTTTTTTTAATTATTTCTTTTAATAAAATTAAATGGTTAGTTTGCCACACCAAAACTAATTTTAATAAAAAATCACTGTCTCGAAACACCAAAAATCATATAATGTAAAACAAATGCAAATAGATTTCTTGAAAAAATATTTTTTTTAATATTTGGTTCAAAAAAACTCAAATAGTTCTAAAACAACCAGTGTTGTTTTAAAACTATTTGAGCCTCAAAAATTAACTTTCTAGGAAACCTAATGGATTTTTATTTAACTCTTTTTTATAATTTATAATAAAAATCTTAAGTTCATCACTTTATAATGATGTCTAAATTCAAAATCATTCCTTTTAAAACATAAAACTAAAAAAGTAATGTATACTTTAAAAATTTTATGTAAAAATTGATAGGTTTTGTTTAATGTTATTTTTGTATTGTAATTATCAATCATAAAATATACACTTTTAAATATTTTTATGCTAAAATAAGTACTTTTAGATTTAATTTTGGTAATAAATTTTTATACAATATTGTATATAAAAGTTGATAGCCATTCTAGATCGTTTTAACTTTTAAAGAAGAGAACAGCAAAACTTTTACAGTTCCATATATGCTATTTGTTAATAAAGCAAAATACATTGCATCTTTTAAGCTACTAAAGAAATAAAATCCTAATCAAATTTAGTATATTTTTTTAATCAATAAAAATTGAATTTATATTATCAAGCACGCATTAAAATACCTGGATTCTAGGTAATCTAAAGTATTTTGAATAAATCAAATTACCGTTATTGTTGATTTTTAGTGATAATACAATGTAAAGAGATATTACTTTCAATGTAAGATTTCCAAATGTTTTTTTTGTTCGAACACGGATTTTACAAGGAATTTTCACTCAAAGTAATTTACAACGAATTATTAAGTCTCGAGCCTTAAGTCTCCAAAGTATACTTTCGGTCCAAACAACGGAATTCAATTCGCTTACTACCATTATTAAATACGATATTGTAATTCAGATAACAATCAGAGTGATTTAATTTCGATGGCTCATAACGGCATTCATTAAATTCGAATTCGTCAAAATTAAATGTGTATTTAAAAGTCTCTTTACTCATATTTACTGGCTTATTACTTTAAATCAGTTTTACAGGTAATGGCTTACTTTTTTTTATCAAGATCATTTCACGGGAATTTTTTAAAAACACGACTTTTTTTAATGACTTGCCTTGTCTCAGACAACCGCGGAGAAGCATTAGACCAGGAAGTTCACGTTGCTTTTCTTACCGAAGTTTCTTAGATAGCTGGTGGAGGCAGTGAACATAGGAAATTCTTATTCTGATGCCAATCAGCGCTTTTACCAATAAACCCATCTAATGCTAATTGTGCATTAAACCAGAAGAAAAAAACACAATAAGTTTCCAAAATTCGGGTTATATTAAGGATATAAAAATGTTAAGGTTTTTTTAAGTAAATGTTGGGATAAAGGTTTTTGCTAGAGGGAATTTGATTATTCATAGATGTGATTTAATGATTTACATGAGTAAATTGTTGAAAAAAATTTAATTTTTTATATTTAAGTCATAATATGCAGTTTTTAGGAACAAAAATTTTATGGAACTTAATAATATAATAAGAGGAGCGTAATCGACTAAAGTAAATCACAAAAGAAAAGCAAATCACAAAAGTAAAAAATATTTTATGAAATAAACTTAAGTGACTTTTTTTTTAAAAAAAAACATCACTTCTAACAAGGCTGCAAGCAACCACTAATTAGTGTTGGAAGTTACAAAAATGAAGAGATGAAGATTGTAAAGCAAGATAACGATTGACTACTTAAAAGGTTGCAAACAATATGAATCAAGAAAGCAAGATGAAGGAAGCGAATTCCAAAGAACTGATGATGTTCGACGAAAAAAAACTAGACGAATAAGAGTTTTTGGATCACTTAGGAACAGTAACAGAAAAAGGATGAGACTTAATTGAATAGAGAATAAAATCCAGAGTAAGAAAGTATCGAGCTCGATAAAGAGATGCAACTTTAGCAGATGCCAATTTTCCAACGGATTTGATATATGGTTTCCAAGAAAGATCAGAAGTAAGAGTTTATCCTAGAAGATGAAGGATAGATGACTCAACGAGTACATTACCGTTCATAAATATAGGAAGGTCTAAACTATTGCGATGACAATTGGCTGAAAAAAATTGAGTTTTAATTTTTTAATTAAAGTTCACCAGCCACTGTGAGCCCCATGTTGTAGCAGAAGTGAGATCCTTTTCAAGCTCAAATACCCTTTCCAAGCAATCAGAGGGAGTTGGCTTCTTATCATAGCAAGAATAAATGGTTGTATCAACAGCGAACAATGCCACCTTAGATGTGAGAATATCTGGAAGATCGATAATCTAAATTAAAAAGAGTATAGGGCCAGGGATTGAACCCTGAGGAGCCCCTGAGGTTACAGAATAAGAAGAAGAGTGCTGTCCATCAAGGATAACTTTTATACTACGATTAGAAAGGAAGGATTCAATAATCTTAAAGATGCTACCAGATACGCCGTAAGAAGAAAACTTATGGAGAAGACCAGCATGCCAAACTTTATCAAGCGACTATAACAGGTATGTTGTCCGGGCCACAAGCTGTAGAAGAGTCTAAGTAGGAAATCACATTAGGTACAGAAGCTAGAGTGATACGAATGTCAAGCAATGAATCAACCTGTTTGACGGCTATAACAGGTAGAACGCAGCTAGTGGAATCAAGTGATGATATTGATGAAAAGTTCCTAGCAAACAATTCAGCTTTGTTTTTAGGTGAGGTGACAAAGTCAGATCCGTACAAAAGAGGTGGAATTACAGACTTGCCCTTATCATTGATACTATTAAAGATTCTCCAGAAGTCACAAGAGCCTAATTTTTGTGATGAAATACGAAATTTCATGACCTGAGAATAACGGACTTTGGCTTTAGACAAAATCTTTTTACAATGGTTCCTAGCAGTAGTAAACAGACGTCTGTTTTCTGGAAAATTGTTTTGCTAATAGTTATGGAAGTAATAGTTTCGATTAGCAATTGTGCAGCACAATGTGAGGAAAACCATGGAGAAGAGTGAGGCATGACCTGAAATTGTTGAGAGGAAATAAAGGATTCCATGCCCGCCTGAATCCACGAAGTTATGTAAGGAACACATTTGTCAACAGGAAGACGAAAGAAATCTACCCAAGAGCCACCACGAAGAAAATTATGGAAAAAGTCCCAGTTAGCTTTAAGGTAGTTGTAAGAAGTACGATGATAGGAGGATTCTGATGATAAAGAAGAATGAGATATTATTTTTAGAGAGATCAAACTGTAATCAGAGGCACCTAAGGGTGAATGTGGAGAAACTGAGCACTGACTAGGATCAGAAACAAGGTATAAGTCGAGTAGAGAAGGCAAATGATTCGGGTTGTCTGGAAAGCGAGTTGGAAAGTTGACTATTTGAGTTAGAGATTGAGAAAGGCAAAAGTTTGAATTAAAATTATCAAGCACGCATTAAAATACCTGGATTCTAGGTAGTCTAAAGTATTTTGAATAAATCAAATTTCCGTTATTGTTGATTTTTAGTAATAATACAATGTAAAGAGATATTACTTTCAATGGGCTTTAATGCATGCAGAGTCATTGACACTAGAGCCAAGCCATTCAGTGTGATGAACATTAAAGTCACCGACAACAACAATACTGGCTGATGGGTAAAGAGAGAGAGGGCTTGGTCAATATAATCAGAAATAACATCATGAAGAGTGTAGTCTTGAGATGAAGGAGAGCGATATAGAACAAAGAGAAAGGTGATAGAGTGAAGTGGTGCTAAACAAAGCACCTAAAAGAGTAGTATGTGGATTCAAATCTAGTTTCCCGACAAATGGGTGAATTCTTGCGAATGTAAATGCCCAGGCCAAGCATGTGACTATTGGAGTCTTTACTAACTAAACAAAGATAACCATCAACACTAAGATGACAAGATGAGATAGCTGAACTCAAATTAGTCTCACAAAGAGCAAGTAGGTTTAATGAACTTTACAAGAGATAAGACTTAACAGAAGAAAAGTTACTTCGAAGACCACGAATATTAGTGAATGATAGGTTTAGCGAACTTGGTGATGACAGTGGTTTTTTGTGTTTTATAGTTTTTGTTACTTTATTCATTTTTAAATTTGTTAAAGAAAATTGACTCGAAATATAGATAGTACTCTGTACACTGTTTAATAGCCCAAACAATTGCCTCATTACTATTAATAAACCCTAAGCCGTTACAAAGGGCTCTAATGTGGCCTTGGCAATGCATACCAAAAAGACAAACAGGGACACCATCCATGCAGATCCAGCATTCAACATTCTGAACTGAAAACAATGTATTAAAAATATATATGCGCCAGCCTAATAGATGAAGAAGGGGTACGAGGTTGGTCAACAGATAGAACCTGTTTACTCCTTAAGTCTTTGCCTAAGAGGCCTTCTACAAGACAACAGCCGGATCCATTTAACATCTGCCTAAGATGAGTATTTTCATCGAGATACCATCTCTAGCTTTTACTCAAGCAAGAGCCATAAGGCAGGGGGTGTTTTATGTTGGAATAGGCATCTCCTAGCCTTAGCCTAAAAATACAACAAGACATGAAGCAGATTGTACTGAGTTGCATGTTACCAGTAGCAGGATAAACTTGACCTGACAACAATTTGTTGTCAATCAACTTTTGAACAAGTGTGGGTGTAATCAGAGACAATTTTACGTGTGTGTGTATATGTGGGGGAGGGTGTTACACCAAGGAAGGTGATTTTCTAGTTATAGTCGGTTTTTTTACGAACTTAGTCGGCTAGTCAATAAAAATTTAGTTTTGAGGTTGCTTTTTTTTTTTTTTTTTTTTATAGAAGCTAGTCGGTACTTTTTGAGGATTAACCCCCCCTCCTCCTCATTTTTTCCGCAGAATCGCCTGTGGGTGAAATTTGTAATTTAAATATCAAAGTATTTATTTTTTATATAAAGACCAAAACCAAAAGAATTTATAAATACAAATACTTTAAATTATTACTGTAAAATAAATAAATTTTAAAAAATGATATGTAGAATGATATTTCTTGTAATATACAGTCAAAAAAATTTGAGATGCTCTTGTCCTGCGGTTTGATAATTTATCTGATTTAAACCCTCAGATTTAAACCCTCAAATACTGTTGCGTAAAACTAAAAGCATAAGTTTCTAAACATAACCCAACCTTTTTTCTTTTATGTTCGTTCTTTTATGAAAAATGGGTGTACTCTTCTTTACAAAAAAAATATAAATTTTGTTTAGATGAGCACACAGTGCCGTGGCAAGTGGATCTGCCCCCCCCCTCCTCAAAAAAAAAAAAACTAGCCATTTGGACCCCAATTTATCTATTTATTTTTTCTAAAAAAGTGGATAAAATTTACAGATTACCCCAACAAGCAGGGTACCTGACATATTTTAACGTCGCCGTTCATAAGACTAAAAACAAACAAATTAACGCTTAAATTCAATTAAATTTATTTTATAATTGTTAAACTGATATAGAGTTTACTAGTAAAGAGTTTTTTTAAATACTGTTAATGTATTACGCAGATAATACAAGTACGTCGCAAACCATCAAAAAAAAAAGGTTTTGTGACGTGTTTTTTAGGCTTGCAAACTCATTTATTATGTCCTTCATAACTTAATTTTCCTTGCAACCTCGATTTCAATCGACAGCGTTGCTAAAGAAAACAAACGTTCATCGACCATTTTTGACCTATTTAAAGATACAAAGAAATATAGCTACATGTATTTATGTATAATAAAGCAAAATTATTTATACTGACCTATGAAAAGTTTTAATTAATTTTAACTTGCTAAAGCTACGTTCTGCACTTGCAACAGTAACTGGTAAAATAAGAATGATTCAAAACGCAACAACTAGATTGAGATAAATTTCTTGCAGCTCTTCTTTGAGGCATTTTTTAACTCCATTTCTAAATCATCAAAATCTATATCACCAAGCTTCATTGGCAAACTTTTGCAATATATAGACAAAGAATTTTCATTACAGGCTTTGATAAGACTCTCAGATTGGTAAAGAAAGTCATTAAGCTTTGTGAAAATGCTAATCTGTTCTTTGTGCAAAAACGTG